ATCATGCCTTGAATTGTTTGCCTAGTAAGTTTGATGTTTTGAAACCTCATACAACACCCAAAAGGAAATGTGGGACATCAATATTCTTACATTTGCGTGTGTTCATGAGGAAGAAATGATTATTAATATTAATCATGGGAGTTGAACCTATTTTCCCAACCTAATCATATGACTAAGAAGAAAAGTCTTTTAAGAAGAAAGGAAAGAAGTAATATCATAATTATAAAAATAATGTGAAATGGTCCATCTCGTATGGCATCTAGCTCGAGAACTAGCTTAAAGAAGAAAAAAAAGGTTGAAGTGTTGGTTTTACAAGGGTTTCCATGGCTTTAAGTCATCAATTCAAAATGGAACCCAAGGTAAACCTTTTGCTTTAGTATGTTTTGAGTCTAGTATGGTTGATATTCCTTTAAGTACATGGTGTTTAGACTCAAGGGCATCAATTCATGTTTCTAATTCTTTACATGGGTTCAAGACAAAGAGAAAACCAACTAAGGTTAAAGTGAACCTAATTATAGGAAATGGAAATAGAGTTAATGTACAATATACAATATTAGTAGAATTAAGATTAGATTCTAGTTTAACTTTAAAATTAAAAGATACATCATATGTGAAGTGAATGTTAGAATATAAGAAGGGGGTTGAATTGTTTTCTTAAAAAAATGTTCTTTTTTTGAAAGTCTATCTATTAGAAGACTAGTCATCTAAGTATTGGTAATGAGTATATTTTTCTAGAAAATAGTTTATAAGTTTACTTGTTAATATGAATTAATGTAAGCAACGAATGCAATAGGACAAATAAACAAGTAAAGAGATAAAGGAAGAGACAATGGACACATGATTTATATTGATTCATCCCAACTAGGTTACATTCAATGTTTACACATTTTTTGAGATTCCTCACTCAACCACCTATTGAGAAAACAGTCTTACAACCACCTATTATAAGACTACACAACACTTGTACGTTGTGATTTCCTTTACTTTCCTACACTATTGTACTCTCAGTTTTGAGTAGGGA